ATAAACTTTTGGTTAAACCAAAAAATAAACAATAATTATTTGTAACTATTAAGATGAATTTAAAAAAAATATTCTAGTTGCATAAATTTCTAGTTGAATTTAAAACAATTTCATTGTTCCCTTAAGATAAAAGATAATATCAAATGATGGATCCACGTAGACATGTCTATCCCATTACTGTACAGCACCAATAAAAAATTAACCAAAAACAAAATAAAACCCCATTTCCTCGAAATTCTTATGTAATAATATTCATTTTTTATATTGACTTTTGTAGTTATTGACTCTATATTTGGTCTACATTAATTATATGTTCCCCATAAATAGTTAGCAAATCCGGTTTGGATATATATATGTAGGTCCAATGCCTTTTAGTATTTTTATCCACCTATCATTTCATTTCTTCAATTATGTAATATATATTAAAGTCCACGTTTCCATATTGTAAAAAGAAAACCAAAATATACCATTTTCCATGAACAAAATATTTAGTCTTAGACAAAAAAAAATCAGTCCAAAATATCCAATTGGAAAGAATCGAAACCGAACTAAAATTTAATGGGTTAATCGAATGAATACTTAAATCGATAACTGAAACCAAATTATATATAATCAAAAACTGAATGGATATCTAAGATTATAATTTTTTTTTCTCAACCTCCGTAATATTATTATGTACTTACAATATGTTAATTATTTTATACTGAATAATAAAAAATATTTATATAACCAAAAACTACCTGAATAATCAAACTCAACTAAAAACCTTGAAAATGTCCAAAATTTATTTAATGATTCCAAACCGGAAGAAAAATACATTAAAATAAAAATAACTAAAGTTCAATATAATTTATACGATAATGATTTTTGAAATAGTAAGTAACCAAAAATATCCAAACTACACTCCTAAAGTAAAAATAAAAAATAAAAATTACTTTGGAAATCTAAAATCAAACAAAAACCCAACCCACAAGAGAAGAACCTAAATCGAAATTCTACAAGATCAAATGGATAAAAAACTTAAAATCCAAAAATACCAAAAGTACTGAACCGATACCAAACCGAATGCGCATGACTAAACAAATCCCATTATTAAATGTTTTACCTTAAAAAATTACAAATAATTAAACAAACCCCATTATTAAATGTTTTAGCCAAAAATACAATTAACTAAACATATTTAATGGACCAAAATTTTATAAATTAGAGAAAGAAGTAAAATATACTCTAATTACACATCGAAACTTGGGACTACCTCGAATAAACCCTAACAACTTGGAGACATAAATTATACATTTTTAGAAGCTGTCAAATAATTTCACATTTCTTTTTAAAAAAATAAAATAGTAAACAATAATAATATTTATCAATACCTAGTAAATGTACTCTCCACCTAACACTAAAAAGTTTGGTGCATCGGTCAAATTTATATTCCAAAAAAAAAAAAAAAAAAAAAACTGGAAAACCGATAAACCAAGTTTCCACGTAGAAAAATCCAAACGCCAAATCAGACAAATCAGGTCATACCAGCTCCAAAACGTCGTCGTTTAGTCCACGTAGACTTCACTAGTCTACCTTTTTGACCTGTTATCACCGGTAAACTTAAATTCTCATCTTTATTTTCACCAGTCTCCGTTATTATAAATACCAGCTTCTTCACTCTTACCTTTTTTTTTTCTTTTCTTCTTCTTCTTCTAGTCTCCTATAAATCTCCCCTCCTCTTCTCGTCGGAGATCATCTTCTCCTCCGTCGTCTTCTCCTCCTCCTCCGCCGTCGACGACTTTTTCAGTTACTCTACGCCGGAGGGTTCTCTCTCTCTCTCTTCTGTTTTTATCATTTCGATTTCGTAAATTTTAGATCTGTAAGCTTTGTATTGAAGTTGAATCTGTGTGTTTATTGTTATGGATCTTGATCTGTTTATATTATTCATTATACGATTTGGAATATTTTTTAAGGTATAGTTTTTTATATTCGCATATACATGAAAAATGGTAGATGCAATGTATAAATACGAATTTAAGATATGTTTTATTTCGCGTGTTCCAACAATTTTTTTTTTTTTTTCTTAGATCTTGATTTGGATTTAAGAGAGGTTTTGAGATATGGAAGGTGGTGGATTAAGAGCTGTAGGATCACACTGTTCTTTATCTGAGATGGATGATCTTGATTTGACTCGAGCTTTGGATAAGCCAAGATTGAAGATTGAGAGGAAGAGATCTTTTGATGAGAGGTCTATGAGTGAGTTATCTACTGGTTACAGTAGACATGACGGTATGCACGATTCGCCGAGAGGTAGATCGGTGCTTGATACGCCTCTTTCGTCTGCTAGAAACTCTTTTGAGCCTCATCCTATGATGGCTGAAGCTTGGGAGGCTTTAAGAAGGTCTATGGTGTTCTTCCGTGGTCAACCTGTTGGTACTCTTGCTGCTGTTGATAATACTACTGATGAGGTTTTGAATTATGATCAGGTAAGGTATTTGAATTCGCGGTGTTTTTGGATCGGGTTTTTTAATCTTGGAATGGATTGGTGATTTTGTTTTGGTTTGTTGTAGGTGTTTGTGAGGGATTTTGTACCGAGTGCGCTTGCGTTTCTGATGAATGGTGAACCGGATATAGTGAAGCATTTTTTGCTTAAGACACTTCAGCTTCAAGGTTGGGAGAAACGTGTGGATAGGTTTAAGCTTGGAGAAGGTGTGATGCCTGCGAGTTTTAAGGTGCTTCATGATCCTATTAGAGAGACGGATAACATTGTTGCGGATTTTGGTGAAAGTGCTATTGGACGTGTGGCTCCTGTAGATTCGGGGTTTTGGTGGATTATCCTTCTCCGTGCTTATACTAAATCTACTGGAGATTTGACTCTTTCGGAGACACCAGAGTGTCAAAAGGGAATGAAGTTGATCTTGTCTTTGTGTTTAGCTGAAGGGTTTGACACGTTTCCCACGCTACTTTGTGCTGATGGATGCTCCATGATTGATAGGAGAATGGTAATTAAGGACATCTTTGATGAATTTTAGACGTATTTAAATATCTGTGATTGGTTTATCAAAATTGATTTGTTGTTGTCTGGTTTTGAATTTTGAAGGGTGTTTATGGTTATCCAATTGAGATCCAAGCATTGTTCTTCATGGCTCTGAGATCTGCCTTGTCTATGTTAAAACCTGATGGAGATGGCAGAGAGTGCATTGAGAAGATCGTTAAGAGACTTCACGCCTTGAGCTTCCATATGCGCAGTTACTTCTGGCTCGATCACCAGAACCTCAATGACATTTACAGGTATACCTATATGCTTTAGATGATATAAAAATCCCCAAAAGTTGACTAAAAGCTAATACAAGTTATTCTTTAAAGGTTCAAGACAGAGGAATACTCACACACAGCGGTGAACAAGTTTAACGTGATGCCAGATTCGATACCAGAGTGGGTTTTCGACTTCATGCCTCTTCGAGGAGGCTACTTTGTTGGAAACGTAGGACCTGCCCATATGGATTTCCGTTGGTTCGCACTCGGCAATTGTGTTTCCATACTCTCTTCATTAGCCACTCCAGATCAGTCCATGGCCATTATGGACCTCCTTGAGCACCGATGGGCAGAGCTTGTAGGTGAGATGCCCCTCAAGATTTGTTATCCATGCCTCGAGGGCCACGAGTGGCGCATAGTCACTGGCTGTGATCCCAAGAACACACGATGGAGCTACCACAATGGTGGATCTTGGCCAGGTCTATTTTCTTTCCCTGCAAACTGATTGCATACGGCATTTCATATCTCACTAGTTCGGTTTTGATTTCAATTTTACATTTCATAACCGTTGCCTAGTGACAATTTTGTCAGTCAGTACAATCCGAAATAGAGATTCTAACCGCCTTTTTGTTTCTCTGCTCAATGTGCAGTTCTGCTGTGGCAGCTAACAGCAGCGTGCATCAAGACAGGGAGACCGCAGATCGCAAGACGTGCGGTTGATCTCATAGAATCGCGTCTTCACAGAGACTGTTGGCCAGAGTATTACGACGGTAAGCTCGGAAGGTACGTCGGAAAACAAGCTAGGAAATACCAAACTTGGTCAATCGCAGGTTACTTAGTGGCAAAAATGTTGCTAGAAGACCCTTCACACATTGGTATGATCTCTCTCGAAGAAGACAAACTCATGAAACCAGTTATCAAGCGATCTGCGTCTTGGCCGCAACTCTGAAAAAAAAACCGCAATCGCGGTTTCTATATTTGCCACGAATATGATTTTTTGTTATTGTTGTTGTTTGTATGATAATGTTATTGAAAAAAAACTTGTGCTGGGGGACTTAGACTTTTATTGATTGCTTTTTTTACTTGCTTTGCAAGTAAGAAAAAAGAAATGGGAAAAGCTCGTTTGCCGTTTTTATATATCAACCTTTACACTTTTGTTTTTTCTTTCTTCATTTGTTTGAACATTAAACTGTTAATAAAACTTCAGTTTAACAATTCGATCTATAACGAAAATGTTTTTTCAAGTAATTACTAGATAGGTAGATACAAGTTGTTGAAAATGACAATGACATTTTCATTTTACAGATTTGTATATTGTTAATTAATTAAAAAAATAGTATTACTAATCATAAAACAAACTCACACATATTTTTCAGTATAAAAATTTATTAATAGCGTATGTTATTTTTTAATTATATAACCATATACTTGTACAAAAATATATATATTAAATATCTAACAATTACACTTCATGAAATACAATTTATACTAATTCTGTATATGATGCTTAAAGATGTTGTAAACTTGATTTTACTAAAAAATACAAATATATGTTATAGTCACATTTTACTTCAAGATTAATATATTTATATTCGTTTAAAATACCCTGATATCCCAATTTACCATATCTTTAATGTTGTATATGTACGGAAAATTATAACTGTTAGTTGTTTCAAAATAGCTACCAATTTGCAACTGTTTAGCTGTGATGTTCTTTTCAACCAAATTTGTAATACCGGTTAAAAGAAAAATCGAAATGCTAATAAAAATAAAATGTTGTTACTAAACTAGGCAACCATATCATTTAAACATCAAAAGATGATACTCATGTTCATTAAAAATTGTACAAATCCAAAAGTAGTTCACAAATAAGAAGAGCTAGAAAGAAAGTTATAAGTTATTAGGATGCTGGAGAAGTAGATGAGGACTTGTTTGACAAGGGTGCATTGGCTGATGCAATCACTGGAGTGGCTTCTAGTGTAGTTCCTGGAGCAGTTAGGGGAGTAGCCGTTGTTGCATTAGCTGGTTCAATGTTTGATGTAGTAGTCGCTTGCCGGGTTTGTTGAGTAGCGACAAATGCTGCAAACTCAGGATATGTTTCCTTCATGTATGCGAATACCATCTCTAATCTTGCGATCTGACTCTTAAAAAGTCGTTGCTGCTCATCAAGTCGAGCTTTCTCAGCATCAAGTTCAGCCATATTACGACGCAGTTGATCATGATGATGCTTTAGAATCGATGAAGAATCATCACTCGCATAGTTTGCCTTTCTTTTACCTTTGTTAAGTGTTTCCACTTGTGATCCAATGGCAAAATAGTTCCCCTTCTCATCTATATCAACACTTAAACAGCAACAGAAACAAAGTCACTTAAACAAAAGATGCCAGAACCAAACAAAACAATGAAGATGCCAGAACCATAGTTCAAGTATTAGTCATGATCAGCAAAAGTAAGACAAATAAAGTATCAATCATGCTCATTAAGACACAAAAGAGAAACATATAATGGAACCAAATTAAACCAAACAAGACAATGAAGAGGCCAACAACATAATTAAACTATTAATCATGCTCAACTACCAACAATAATTCTATGCTCAACAAAACAAATAGTTAAATAGAAGATAGATATATACCTTAAGAAATATCTCATTCTGTTCTTCAATGGTGAGTGTTCGACGTGTTCGAAGTGTTCGATGAGTAGATTGTTGAGTTGAAGTTGCGGAAGATTCTGCATCATCATCATCTATTTGAGACATTCTCTTTTCCATGTTCTTCTCATAAGTCTCACCAAAGTGTTTGTGGACTCCAAGGCCGCCATTATCGAAGTTTTGAGATTGTGATTCATTTGAGCTCCTTTCCATATCATCCAAAGTATTCCAATGAACCGACATCTCTCGCCAAAGGGTATCTCTAATCCATTCAGGCTTTTGACCACTCTTCTTAGCTTGACTCGCGATCTTTTTCATCTGTTTCTTGGCAATCTTCAAGAATCCATCTTTCACAAGCTCTGTTATCCCGTTATCCCAATTGTACTTCCGCTACACAAATAAAAAAGTGTTAAGTATATAATAACTCATATACTAAAATTCAATTAAAGAGTAACTATTAAACATTCAAAGCTAAATCATAAAAACTACTTACCGCAAATGTTCTGAAGTATCTCTCTTGAATTTTTATAGGAGTCACCTCCCAACTAAAGTAAGGACCATCAAACTTACTCTGGAATATTTCAACAATAACTCGAGACAATTGTTCTTTGTCACGACCAAACCTATTGCATCCATAGAAGAATGTAAGGCTATAAGAGCAAGAACATAAAGTACATTAAGCAAGCACTTGGTATGAACACAAATGTTGGCAGCCATTAAACACAATGTTGCTCATACTCTCAAACACAGTGACGATTTAGCTTAAACAAAGTGACAATTTAGCTTAAACACAATGCAAACTCAAAATCAAATTCATACATATTAAGAAGAAAATGGAGACAAAATTAAATTTCAAACAATTAGTATTATCTATTATTGTAATATTAGTCCTCAAACTCAAAAAACATAATGAGTAGTTTACCATAATGTTTCTTTCCCTGGAATACGATGCTGACTCAAGATTGTTAGATGCTCTCGGACAGGAAGAGCTAAAAGCTGTTGGAAGTCTTGATGTTGTGCTTGGTCATCACTAGGGTTTTGTTGTTTCTTGAGATTCTGAACATAAGGCTTTCGTCGAGATTCTAGCAACTGTGGCTGATGATGAACATGAGGATGAGGTTGACCCCTTCTTTGCTTTTCACCTTTGGATGTTCTCCTACCATGGACTCTAGTTAATTTCCCCTTTCCAGCCATTATAGAAAGACAAGAAGAGATTTAGATGAGATGATGAAAATGGAATTGAAGAGAAGGATGAGTTGAACCAAGATCGAGAAAGAAGAGATGAGGAAACCCTAGAGAGGAGTTTGAGAGTTTGAGAGTTTTCAGAATCGATTCGATAAAAAGAAAACCTCATTTTCTTTTTGCCTAGTAAATATCGAAGGTTGGTCGCAAAACCAAAATACAATGGAGAAACATTTAGTCGCAAGTTAGTCGCAAGATGAGTAGCAAACTCGTCGGGAAAGTTTAGTCACAACATGTGTTATAAGAAGGTGTGTCGCAAAATAGTTAATGTTTAGTGACATTCCAAAACTAATATTTTTGAATTAATACACTTTTAAGTCCTACTAAATTTGTATTATGTAAAAATAGAAGCACTAGTATCTACTATAGACTTTTCTGCAAAAAATACTATAGTCCACATTTATTACTTTGACGTATTTAATGTTTGTAAAATAATTAACAAAAATATTTAATTACTCTCTCAGTTAACCAATAATATTTAATATCATTGTCCAATTTCTAATTTCCTTCTCTCATTTCCTCTTTATGTAATATTTTATTTATTTATAATTTATTATATTATATTAAACATATGTATAATAAAAAATACAATTTTTTCCACACATGTTACAATTTGAATTTTATAAGACAGATGTATATTACTTAATCGATTCTTTTAAAAAGTGTATGTACAATGTCCACATCAAATAGAACCCTAAGTTTTTTTTTTTTTGCCCCAATTGTAAAACGACGTCGTTTTGTTAACAAAATCGAAAACACACAAAACAACGTCGTTTATGCTCTTCCGATGTCCTGTCATTTGCCACGGTTGACTCACCGTCGTTAAACGGTTAGGTAAAGTAGTTTCGGGTTATGTTGGTTTTGGCTAATTTAATATAGTTCATGTATGAGATTTGAATTATTTGAGGGTTTCGGTCGGTTTTTTCCTAGAGTTGTTGTCTGGATATATAAAGGTTGCTAGAATAGTTAACGTTGATTTTGGCTATTTTCCTATTATGCAAAATAGTTGAGGGACCTAAGTGCAAAGTAGTTGCAAATTTCAAAAAAGAAATCAATGTTATGAGAAAAAATTCATTTAGTCCATCAAAAAAGAAACAAACTAGTTATGCTTGATCTGGGTAACAAAAATCGGGTAAAGAGCCATTTTATACATGTACAATTTATAAAAGTGTCAATTTCTACCTATACAAAGATGCAGTGCGAATTTATACCCAATTAGTACAAATAGTGACAATTTCATCCACATTAACAGATGCTGATTCATATGGCACATGTCACATTAAGATGCTGACTCAGATGACACGTGTCAGATGACTCATAACGTGAGAGTGAGGTGGCATTGTGAACGGCAAACGAAGTCGTTTTTAATAACGTAATTTTTTTTAAATGAGAAACTAGAAATTATTACAATTATAAATTTAAATTTTAAATTTAAAAATTAAAAATTAACAATTACAATTACAATTTTTAACTGTATACATTTGTAGTTACAATTTAAATTTAAAATCTTAAATTCAAAATTATATTTCTTGATTTTACTATATTTATAAATAAAATTGTAGCGATTATAATTACAATAAAAATTAAAGACTTAAAAATGTAAAAACCCCAATATCATAAATATTGTGGTGTATACAAAGAGGTTTAAAAAACTGTTTTGGTCATCTATATCACTAGAGTGCACTTATCTTTTCATATCAACCATCCCGAGATGATTCTTTGAAAGATAAGTGTACTTTGGTGATACATATGGCAAAAAAAAAATTGAAAACCTCCTCGCTTCTAACACCAAATTCCTGATATTGGGGTGTTATATTTTTAATTTTAGTTTTAAAGCTTTTATGTTGAGAATTTTTTATCATTACAATTGTATTTATAAATTTAGTAAATAAAAATTATAGTTTTATATTTTAGATTTTTAATTATAAATTTTAATTGTAATTTTAAATGTAATACACTTAAAAATCGTAATTTTAATTTTAATTTTAAAATTTTAATTTTAAAATTTTAATTTTAAAAATCATAATTGTAATCATTTCTTGTGACTCATTTTATGGCAAAATTAAAATCACGGTATTAAAACGACATCGTTTGCCGTTCATAATACCACTTCACTCTCACGTTAAGAGTCATTTGGCACGTGTCGTCTGAGTCATCATCTTAATATGACACGTGGAATATGAGTCAACATTTGTTAATGTAGAATATGAAATTGGCACTATTTGTACTAATTGGGTATGAAATTTGAATTTTGTTTGAGTTTGGGTATAAATTTGCACTACATCTTTATACAGGTAGAAATCGACATTTTTTAAATTGTACATGTATGAAATGGCCCTTTTCCAAAAAAAAATCTTGAGTCCGCTTAAGCACTAACATATCCTAGTATAAAGTATATCTCTCATTTTTAAGAGGATAAAACGATCATTTGATAAGAACCTGTTTCAAAAAATCTATGCAACAATCATTTAATAAGTTTGTTTTCAAACGTACTCATAAACTAAAAACCTTCCTTTAAAAAGCTATGTAATATCTTGTAAATGATTTGATTATTAAATTTATTTTCTTGAAGACATTGTTAATTAGGGAATTCAGAAAGCCATAATGTATGTATCAATTCAAATTTAGTTAGATTTCTACCAATTTTTTAAAATTTTATATACCAAGCATTTTTTCTTAAAAAATAAAGAATATGTATTTCATCCAAAATTTTTGCTTTAAACAAAGGTTTCAGTTAAAAATATATATATATATGCTTCAGTGAATAGATTCTTAAATTTTAGAGTAAATGATTTTTTAAAAAAATTATTGAATTGTAAGTAACTTGGAAAATGCTTTCTAATAATATGTTCATTGCATAGGTGGATAGCAAGATTTTACGGAAATAGATATTTGATAACAAGATGATGTAGACCAAGATGATTGAGCTTTCATATCGCCAAAGATTATAACTGTATAACAATATAAAATTCAAAGAGAAAGGTTATTCCAACTATTTCTAACTCATTTGAAGACAGAGGCGGATCTAGTACACAATTTAATATGTGGCACAATTTATTAATATATTAACGTTTTTTTTAAACATTCATAATTATAATTTTATACTTGATTTTAAAATACTTTTTTTAACTGAAACTATAGATAGATAATTTACTATAAATGATATTAAGTTTTGACTAATAGTAACATAAAATTGTATATTGCAAATAGTAATTCTATTTTTATAAAAATATTTATTCATTATAAGTGTTAATTTAATCTAAGTATTGAAAACAAAAATATAAATCTTAAATAAAATATAATTTTGAGAGCAGAATGTATAAGGAATTATAACTTTTATAATGGAAATATAATACTAACAGAAAAATAAGAAAATAAAACTGATTAAAGAAAAAAACTTTAGAAAAATAAAAGGAAAAAATGCATTCACTGAGCTTTGAACTTTGATTGGATGGGGCACAATAGATTATTTCAAACAAAAAATGTTGGAAACTTATAATGGTAATAAAGCTTGACGAATGATTTATATTAATCAGTGTGTGGCACTTGCCCCACCTACTCTAGGCATGGATCCGCCCCTGTAATTGAAGATTTTGCATTTCTAGTAATATATATATTAAAAATGAAAAACGATATATTTTTTTAACTCTAATATAGAATAAGGTATAAAAACTATAGCTGGCAAAATAGGCGGATTATCCATGGTCAGCCCATCTCCAATATAATATAAATCGATCATGGACAACCCAATATATAAAGTGGGTTTAAATGGTTTATGTCCAACTTTGCTTATAGACGAAACGAGATGGACAATATGTATATGGACATTGGACGGTCCATAGAACTTGAAATCTATGTCAACATCGTTTTTAGGAATCATTATAAGTTTATAACTCATTTTTATTTATTAATTTATTTAATATATATATATATATATATATATATATATATTACAATTTATAAAATATGTTTTCAGTAGACGGCTTTGGGCAGCCTATTTAGATATTATCGTTAATGGATATATCAGTATTAATCTATAATCAAGATAGTTAATGTTGGAAATAGACGTGGACAACCATTTTGACAACTTTAAGGAAAACCCAATTGAGCCAAAGTGATAGCTTTAAGAATAACCCAACTGAAGTTACTCTCTTTATTTTGAAAAAAGTGGAGAAATGGATTGGAAATATTCTAAAACATGCCATATAGTCTTCTTCTCAATGAACTTTAGTTTTCACTTTTTGGGGAGAAAAGAGACAAGACAATGGACCGTGGGAGGATCCAGAGTAATTCAGACCAAACATCACGTTTTTGCTTCACTTGCTTGTTGTTTGTTGTTGTACTCTTAACACACTCTCTCACTGTTCTATTGTTTTCTTTCACTGCTAAAGCTTAGACCAACATTTGTTGAGGATATATTAGGAGGCTAAGATATTCTTAATAATGTTGCCCTTATACGTGCACCTGTCTCAACAATTATTTTCTTGGAAAATAAAATAAAATAAGAGAGATTATATTATGTTTAGAATAAAATAAGATTTACAGTCCAAATTAATAAAATAAAATAAAATAATATTTACCTTCCAAATATATAATATTTTTTGAATCAAATATATAAAATAAATATCCAAATATTCAGACGTTTTTATAGTGCTTTGGTTACACTTTTCATTGTATCTTTACCAATTCACGTTAAAAACTATTTTCTTCATTTTTTTTCCTATATAATTTTTGTCTCAAATTTGAAAATACTTTACAGTGGACTTCTCTCCGAAGACTCATTATACTATATATTCTAAGTTTAGAATGATTTCCGACTAGTATTAAGGTTTGAAGTACTGCGATGTGTTTCTACCGGAGCTGACCAGATCAGCCGATAGGGTTTATAAAAAAAAAATTTTATACTTTGTTAACATCCTGATCATACATGTGCATAACGTAGGCTAAAAAAATTTGACAATTCATAGACAAGTTATATATTTGTCTAGATTGAAATGTAGTTGAGATAATTAAATTATATATCACCTATGGCTGTGGGTGCTAATTGGCAGATGAGAAAAGAAATTGAGACTTTTGATTATTATAGTTGCCCTTATCCCACGGCAAACCTTTCATTATTCTGATAACAAAGGACAATAGAATTGCAGAAAGAGACATTTGTGATATTATCAGTAATAATTTACAATTATAACAAAACATAATATTAAAACCATATTATATACAGAGTAAAATGTTACCATTATTAGAGATTTTATTTTCTTTCTCCCCCCATAGAACAGTCAACGTTTCCCACCAGATAAATCCAAACAAATCCAACCTAATAACCTATTAAGCCAAACCCTTTAGAAGACAGCCAACAAAAGAGATCCATCATCTAACCAACATTTGCAACCTTCTCCTATCCCATTAAAAGGTGCTAATTAATCATTGAAGTGGCACAGAGTTAACAACTGACAAATGTCTTGAGCAAATACAACAAATAGACATATATGAGATTATGAAAGTGATCAGAATGGTCAAAAAAGTAAAGTTTTAAAACTGGAGATAATGAAATCTAGCTGGATTAAGTGATCAGTGATCCCTTTATATTAGTCTTTCTACTAGTCTCTCTCTCTTTAATTCTAGTTTCTACTAAGCTGCTTCACCTTCTTCCTCTAACTCACTCTCGCTCTTCAAACCAGTAAAACACTAAATATGAAAACTCAGTATAACTTTTTTTGTTAGTTTACATAACCATTTCTATGTTTTGTGTTTTTCCATAATATATATAGTTCTTATAAGATATGGAGTCCCACAAGAACAACAACAAGAAGAATCATCATCAAACCACAGGTTTAACCCATTTGGTCCCATTCATAAGACCTATCTCCACTCCAAACTCAACCACCACCGTCTCCACCACAACAACTCCTACAAAACGACCATCCAAAGACCGTCACATCAAAGTAGATGGACGTGGCCGGAGATTACGCATTTCAGCCATATGCGCCGCACGTGTCTTCCAACTAACACGCGAGCTACAACACAAACCATACCGGCGAATATCTCAACTTTGAACGTCTCACTCCGAAGCAGTGGCAGAAGAGCTTCTCAGAACGCTGCCGTTTTTGGGTTTCAGCAACAGCTTTATAACCCTAAACCATTCCGTGAAGAAGAACCTAACTCCCTCGATCAAGAACCTGGTTCAAGCTCACCTAAACCGGGATCCGAAGCTCTCAATCAAGAACCCGGTTTAACTCAGTCAAGAACACAAAACATGATTCATACCACCTATGTGGGCAGTGGCGGCTCCAACGTCAGCCTCGACAAATAGAGGAGTAAGTTCGTTTTGGATGTTACCAGCCAACGTTCAAGATCCATCACAGCATATGTGGGCTTTAAATCCGGGTCAAATGGGGACAGTACAATTAGGGTCTTTGTTAGTGCAACAGGCGGCTTTGGGAAGTCAACAACTAGGGTTAAGTAGTGTTGCTGAAAGTTGTAATAACTTAGGGATAGTTTCTGGTAGAAGAGGTGGAGAAGATCACACTGGTCTAGGAATGAGCATAGAGCAGAAACCTCGACAACATCAAGGGAGTGATACTAATGGAGACTAAAACAATATTATCGCTGGTTCATCTTGAAGTAACGTCTTCTTGTTTTTAGTTTCAGTTTTTTTTAAAGTAAGTGTGATTTATTGCAACTTTTGTTGGGAATTCTTATGTTAATATATGCGTTTTAGAGATTGCTTTTTGGGATTGCCTAATTGTTAGCTAGCTAAGCCATCATTATTAGTGGGCTTTTAAGAAATATAAGAGACATTTCCTAACAAATCCCGAACAATAAAATCCCACTAGTAATGATGGTCTAAGAAAATGAACTTTTGCTCGTATTAACTAAAGATATATAAGTTTTGTAACTCGGTTTTAATGGACGAAAAGAATTAATGATATAAATAAACTTTTTTGAGTTTTCTTTGACCGTTAAAAGAACGTAACTGACGAAAAGTATTTAAGAATATATTTCAAATTTGATTGTGCCGGTTCGTAAAAAGTTAATATATGGTTGTGGAGATGAACTTTATTGGGTGCATGAGCACCACATGTTTGATATAAATAGTTTTTTTGGTGATTTATGTATTATTTTGTACAACAAAAGTACTCGTGTTTTGTCTTAATACATTTTTATTTGTTGACGTAAATATTATCCACTTCACCACTTGTGTCGAGCAACATGGACATGTCTGTCGGAGACTATCATTGCAGTGTGTTCACACTTCACACAGTCGATCTTCGTTAGATATATTTGCCTTCTATCATATAAAAACCACATGATGAAATACAGCTTATTGAACAACTTATTATTCTATTCTATTTATTTTGCTTTTTAAATTTAGTGACTAATATAATGACACGTAACAAAAATGACTAATTGGTGACTATCTAACTAAAAAAACTACGAGCTAAATAAGCTATGACGTTATAGTCACGATCATTACCGGCCTCATTAACTATTGGGTTTAATACAATATTTTTTAATAGGTTTTATATATAAAAAAAAAAAGTTGAAACCAAATGTTAAAGTTTTTAAAAATGGGATATACTTTTGCAATAAACAATAGATAAAACTAAAACATTGTAACCAAATGTTATATTTTGTTAAAAATAGGGCCTAAGTGTGCAAAAAGATGTTTTTGGGGCCTAATATTTATACCAAAAATGTCAGAAAAATATTGGAGGCCCAATACATTTGTATCTTAGGAATGTGCCACGGACCGGGCCAGACCACGATTTATCCTAGTGACCATTCGTGGCTATACCAACTTATAGCTACGGACGTTGAGACTCGGCGACGAAAAATTAAAGTGGTTATATAATTTTTTTACTAGTCGAATATTCTAAATATTTATTTCAATGGTCTATCCAAAATATATATATTTTTACATGTAATTATGTATAAGAAATTAAAATTATATATATTCTTTTAGTACTTCCTTTTAAATAAATCAGTGTTTAGATTAAATTTAAAAACTGTAGGGTTTTAGGCTTTTAGCACTGCCATCATATCTCATTTTAAGTTGCGTTTGGCCCAAAACCTCATGTCAATTTAAAACAGGAAGTTTTCTCTATTCATGAAAATACTAGTTACCTAAAACATAAAAGGTCAAATTTAAAACACAAAACCAAAGGTGTGTAACATATAGTAACAAGTATATTCAAAGCTTATAGTCATAGTCATAGTCAAAAAACACATCTTACCGTATAAACAAATGAAAGGAAACATGAATCCTAAACATTCTATATTTTGAAAAAGGTTTTGAACTATTTATACTTAAATTCTATATGCTAAATCGAAAAAAATATCAAACAAAAACACACACATAAACACACAAAACACATCAAACGAAAAAAAAGGATTAAAAAATGGCTTTATCAAGAAAATGTGTTTTTCTCGTGTTCTTATGTCTAATTGTTCTCTCCATAATCCCAAGTATGCAAAAAATTAGTTTACAATTTTCTATTTTCTATCTAATAACTTACAGTTTTATTCATACAATTCATTAGGGTATTGTTTATGTTTTTCAATACCAATTTAACTGATTTTTCATATAAATTTTCAGGATCTACAAACGCAAAGCCATTGTTGATAGGTACATGCGTGCAGTTTCCAATAGAAAAATGCATTAAGACATGTATTGAGTCGAATTTTGCTGGTGGCAAATGCGTTCGTATTGGAGGTGATGTTCATGATGTTGTATGTGTTTGTATTCCAAAGTATTTTTAAGAAATACATTTCATTAGTGTTTTGGTAATATTGTTTTTAAATACTACTTGTGTCAGATAATTTTATTAATGCAAATCCTTAATATATATATTTGATGCAAATGAATTTTGATTTATAATACAATTTTGAATGCATAATTTAGATGAACATATACGTTTTTCGATTAAATACATTGAATCGGTCTAAATTTGTAATTGCCATTGTGATCGTAATTAAAGCACACTTCAATCAAATATAAATCCGGGTTGCCATTCTCACTAAATCCGGGTTCGAATCCAGTCCCTACTAAACAGAGAAGTAATTTTGGTTTCCGACAAAAGATATCAAAAAACTAAATAATTTATAAATATCGAACAAATAATTTAAAATATCGAATATTTCATTCATATAATCAAGTTGAATCTCAAACATTATATGTAGAGCAAGAAAAACTAACAAAAGTTTTGATTGTTATTTGTACGGATATTTTTCCGGTTAAAGTATATTTCTAAGGTGCGAGAGTGTTGCTCAATGTAGTCATGTGTGTGTATAGAAATGATTTGAGGCAAAAACTTTGATTTAACCATCTGATTTGGCTTAAGCACTGTACTTAATTAGGATATACATAAACTTAATATACAGACCAAACATACATCCAAATGTCTATGCTCTATTGTCTAACTCGTCATCACCATCTCCTTTAACAGCCTATACGCATAACTTAGTATCTATGTATTAGAATAAGAATCACCACAGACCAAGATCAAAAGATGGCGTCTCTTTCTCCACAGCATCATTCATATGATTGCTTTGATCAGGTAATATAACCGTTGCTTGTTCTTTCTCTTTTGCTTCTGACCTCTGCTTCGACAATAACAGTGTGGCTTGTGCTTCCAAGGCATCAAAGTCTAGTGTCGCGAAGAATGCATCATCGTCTTCATCATTGTGCTCTAATGCACCTGCATTGCTTTTCATGCCTTCATGGCTTTCCTTCTCAGTGGCTTGTGCATGAGCTGCAAACTTGCTTTCTAAGTTAATCACGGGGGCGTTCCCCGAGTTGCATAAGCTGAATTTCCTTTTCCGGCTCTCTGATGGGATTTGTACTACGGAAAAGTCTCCTATCACCATTGCATCCTGGTTTGAATCAGAGTTTGTTGTTTGTGGAGTTCGAAGAGAAGACGATGATTTATCTGAGTCGTTTCTGCTCTCGTTTATTCTCTGCAAGGGTCCAGCTGAATAGGGACTCAGACTTGATGCGGCTAAATCACGAAATCTTGCTGGTAATGGTGACTGGCTGAGAAGAGAACGTCTGTGGAAGGATACCTTAACGATTTTAGTAAGCTCATTGACTATGTTAATCATAAAACAGAAGACAGATATTTCCGGTCCTATATACCTGTATACGGCCATCATGTCAACTCTACCAGACTCAACTTGAGTATTAGCCGTAGGCATTGTCCCATCATCTATGAAACTCTCTTCAAATGAATCTCCTGTCATATCTTCGTTCTCATCAGCAGACATCTCTGCTCCCGAAGAGACCCTGATCAAAATAGAGAGGTTTGAAACAACTAAACATCAACTTTGTATTTAGAAAACCTACTTTTGTTATGTTGCCTCTTGTTGTTTTGTGAAAAGTAAAAGAAAACCTGATCGATTGTTAGATTAGATTAAAACTTACTCCGCTTCTGCGTCAATGAAGGCTCTGGCATCATCATCCACGCTTATCTTCTTCTTACCTGAAAAAATTAAAACACAGAACAACAAAGCAGCAATCATTCATACAAGTCTATGTGACAAGTATTTCAACTCTTTCAGCACATCAACACTTTTAATTAACACAGATGCTTAAGAGGAAAAACGAATTGCTTAATTAGAAAACCTTCTTCTGGCACCAATGCACAAGCAACAAAGAACTGTAAAATCCACTCTCACACATTCCGTTTCAGCTTAACACCGGCAACATTCTATCTAGTTACAATAAGATCTTATGGACGTCTATTCACCAAACCAATTGGTATAATATATGTTTTGGTCATTTTAAGTTAACACAGAACCAGTTACCTCTAATGTGCTTTTCAGTGCGAGAACGCGATCTTATACGGTTTGCCTCTGCAATAGCAGGATTATTCTCCTTTGCAGCACTCGAGCAATCTCCAAGTCTACGTAGTCTCTTCAACTTGCGAGGCTGTCGAAGAGTTTCTGACTTCTCTCCAGAACTCACCCGCCAATCTTTGCTAGCACTGCTGTTTGTGTTTGTGAGATTCGCCAAGGGAGTTCTCCACTCCTCAGGAACAGGAGAAACATCCAAATATTCTGTTCCATTGGCCAAACAATCCTCCTTTTGGGGAGTTCTGTTCTCATTGGTCTTCGACGCAATGTCATAATCACTACGTTTATGTTGAACATCTGTCCCAGGGAAAGAAGGGTCTCCTGCTAATTCATTACTGAACCTCATGGGTGAAGAAATCTTAGGAAGATCAAGGTCTTCTTCTCCGTTTGCTTCTTCTGCAACTCCTGCAGAATAAGTTCTTATGATCAGGTAGTTTTCGTGGTGGTTGTATGTACATATGGTGCTTTTTCGCCAACTGTAAATTTTTGTTTTCCCAAATGGCATATTCACGTGTATAATCAGCACTAAGACAATAGGATTAGAAAAACTTTACAAGTGTGTCAAAGTAAATAAGTAATACCAAAGTCAGCCAATTGCATCAGCAATTCCTAACACCATGATTGATGCATTCAATGTGTTGGGACTCAACAGTGGATGCAAAATACAGTTGGTATGTCCTATTCGTTATATTTCCACCTCTATTACGTACTAAATGTTTAAGATATAACACTAACCTTGGTCATAGACGGGTGACTCTGGAACAACGCCACTCTTGATGAAATTAGTGAGCCTTGGACTAAGCTCGAAGCCTTCACCCTCATCTGATGATAACACAATTTCTCCAACACAATTCGCTACATCTCCTTTACCTACATCGGTGGAGTGCCCTTGCACAAGGCTAGGAGTTTCTAGTGTCTCATTGGCACTCTCTGGTGAGGATCTTTGCCTTAACTTGCATGAAATATTGTTATCTTGCTGTATTTTTGTGGAAGTATCTATATGAACAAAGTCAATGTGGTTTGCCTCTGGGAAAGATTGTTGTTTTTCGGTTTCTACATAAGGCATATAGTTTGATGCTGGTAGATTAGAAAAGAAAGAAAGAGGAACCGGCATTACGAAGACCTTCCCAAGAGTATCAACGGCTGCACATTCAGAACTGAAAAGATAACGGTGTGTGGGTGACGATTCTTCATAATCTTTCTCTGTGGTCTCTAAGGTGCTTGTGGGAGATTCGACAATTTTTTTTGTGTTTCTCTGTGATGTGTTGACTTCCAAATCACAGAAAGAGGGTAAATCTGCACATTGATCCAGTAGAAGAGACATTAGCACTTCAGTTATTAATTGACGCATCCGTTAGTGGAGATAGAAATAACATGTCTGATAAGACAAGATATAGCCTATTTTAGACATAACATGTTTAGTATTGTATGTAACCATATATACAATACATCTGAAATAGAATATATACGAAAACAATATCAGAAGAGCCTATTTAAGGATATACTCTCTGCTGTCTTTAGGTAATATCTTCCTAAATGGTCTTGGATATAGTACGAACATTTTTATAAAGCTCCATGTCATTTCTCACAAACCCAAATGTAATATACTTAGAAATTTCGATCAAATCACTTATGGTATGGTCAATATATGTGGGACTAATAACAGCACTTTAAACACGTGAAGCTGCAGTGTTACTATAGCTTATAAGCTTATATACCTCCTACTAGCTGATGACTTATAAGCCTACCGACCTCTTATTAGCGGGTTTTTTAAGAGTAAATATATCTATGCAACAGTTAGAATTGGTACTTCTGCAAAATCAATGAGACTACATTTACCTTTCCGGTCATCACCAACCCTCAGACCTGTGTCAAACTCCTCTCTTTCACCCAAAGGAGCTCCAACCTAATAGAGTATGTGATTCCACATAAGTAAACGGTGAATTTCACAAAAAGGTATGGAAAAACCAAATTTATATGGGGTATAAGTCACACCTCAGTGAAGAAACTTTTACTCTCCTCTGAAATAGTTGCCTCTAGCAAATGCTGCATAGCGTCAATTAACAATCCTGTTTGACGTGAATGCATTACTTTGTGCACTTTGGATGGCAATGTCTGGAAGTGAGGGAACGCAATCAAGGACAATCTCAACTTTTCCTCATGGGTTTCGTAATATTTGGCGAGCATATCCGTCTCTGCAGGTGTAAGTTTTTTCTTGAAAGCTGGAGTCTCAGTGGTATACTCATCTTCTAGTTTCTTTCCACGTGGAATGAATTGTTTGATTGAAAACTCAACATGCTGAACTTCTGGCTTATAAATATGGGGAATCTGTTATAATTTCATGACAAGGGTATGTTAAGAAAAGTAATTGAAGCAAAAAAGGTAAGGAAAGCGAATTATTTAAAAAACAAAGAGCTTTTAACAGAGCATACCATCCTTGGACTAGGATGAAAGTTAAAACTATTTGTTCCTCCATTCCGCATGTGTTTTTTAATGGCCCGTCCATTTGCTTGTTTTCGCATATAGCTGTTCTTTTCTGACCCTTCACAAGCAAGAACTAGTAAAGGCTAGTCAAGGAATGGCATAATAGCTTTCAAATGAGAAAGTAACACTGCAAAGATTTGTAATGGAAGGACTAATGAGAAGTGCATAATTCAAGCGTGCTAAAGGATATCAACTCGACCATTATTTTTCCTTCCGGTTCTTCCCATCCGTTGAATCATCCTCAGAGGGGATACATTAGCATCAAAACATATAACTAGGTCGACTTCCATAATATCCAAGCCTTCTTCTCCAATAGATGTTGCAACAATAACATTGAACCCACCAGCTCTAAATTTCTGTTAAGAAAATAAGTATTTCATGCAGATGGTTTGGGAAAACCCATCAGTGTCATACATCAAAGTTAATTTTCACAAAATCAGATAAAGGGAAACAGACTTACCTCCAAAACTGCCTGCTGAACTTTTTGCGACTGTCCTTTCAGTGTCTTACCTGCAAACAACATACATTGTTACAATTATAAATGATACTTCCATGTAACTGAAAATTTCAGGAGTAAAAGTCAAAGTAAGTGTAACAAACCTGAACTTTGACCAATAAACTCAGTTGCTTTGACCACATCTCCAATATTACTTAAGGCGTCCATTATATCTCTAGAGATAAACGTAATCAGGTGAATGCAAAAGAATAAACATAGTGGGCGAGTAAAGGGAACAAAAACGACAAATATACAGACCTTACGCTTCCTCTAAAATTTGAGAAAATAATGACCCGTGATGTCCTCGGATCTTTCACTTCTGCAGCCATAGAATAAGATCATAAAAATGTTCAATTGTATGTTAATAGCTGAGAGCTAACTTCAATTCCAGATCAAAATTTAAAAAAAAAAAACATACTGAAATGATCAACTAGTATTTCTAGCATCTTCGACAGTTTTGGGCTTGGTGCTCCATGTGACAACATTTGCTGCATCAAAAGCTTCGTCTTCCTAATATCTTCATTCTTACTCATCAGCCTAGCGAATGGTCTGCAAAGGGTGATAGTTTTAGAGCAACTTATTTGACTATTCTCTTGATATTCAAAGCTATAATACCTAAATTCAGTGAAGGCATCCCAAAAAATCAGTTCAATAGAAGACAGTAAGAGCATACCCTTCTTGCAATTTCTCTTCTAGCATCTCATACGCTGGTCTTATTCCATGACTAGAAAGGAGCTTACGAATGTGATAAAGAGTGATAAGAGCTGAAAAGCAAGATTCTACAACTCCGTGATTTACATGGGGAAGGCCTGGTATAGGTGCTTGACGAAACGTATCCCTTGCCATAAGGACTTCATGTGGACTTAACTGTCAAACATGAGTTAGTGGTTGCGTGGATAAGAAAATGTGAGCATTGATGCTAATGGTTTAAACAGGTATAAGGATTGAGGCACATACAGTTTGATAATCCCTATTGAATTTAACCCCAAAGTTTTTGAGCCTGACTGCATATGGACGTATAACATCTAATAGACGTTTTGATACATCATCTGCATCTTGGCCCAACGGAACCTGCTCTGCCAGAAAGATGCTAAAATTATTAGACATGAATTTGGAGAGCAACACAATTGGGAAATGCAGAAACCAGCTTGAACCTCGATTAGTTCTAATTTTCTGTCGTGGACGTAAGGGCAAACATCATGGTCACTCTCATTTCGATATTCAAGTGTGGATATCTGTAAATTGTCAATGATACCCTGGATGGCCTGTGTCTTTGCTGAAAATAACATCTACCGTTAATGGGTGCCTTAATAAAATAACCCACAGCACCAAAATTAAAAAAAAACATGAAAGTCAATCACTTACATCCAGGAGTTGCAGTAAGAGCTAGTATTCTCAACTGTATTGGTACCGCCATCAACTACAAGTTAACGGGCATTAGTTCGTACATTCACCTTGATCATTTTTACTTTCATTACGAGAAAGAAAAGAAACATATAGAGATGCACCACAATATAAACGAAGGAAAGTTGCTTAAAAATCCAAACACGTAAAAGAACAACAAACCTCACGAACTACAACACAATAAGAATAATTTCCTAAAGCTCGATGTGCCTCATCGATCACCAAGCAAACCAAGTAGTTAGTAAGACATGTTCCTGAAAGTGACGGTTATTGTGATCAAAAGTTAATTTGAGAACAAAGCATACAAAAGGTTTCGGCTCAGAATTTTAGTAGAAAATCCCGGGCATCACCTGACTGTATATCCTTCTCCAACACTTGTGGAGTAACAAAGAAAACCCTTTTGCTTTTCCACAAGAACGCTCTTTTCGAAGGACATGTCTGACCCGTCAAATCAATAGTCCATTCCTACAATCATTTCAACCCACCATTCTCAAAAACATATCTACAACTCTGATAAATATCTGGAGAAGCAACAAAACAAATTCAGAATCCTTTTAAAGAGAATCACATACTTGCGGTATCCCCACAATATTATGACACGCCTCAATCTGCTGCATCACAAGAGGCCTAGAAGGTGCTGCAAAAACAATTTTACCTAACAACAACACCAACAGTTACATCTCTTAAATCATCAAAACCAAGAAACCTTAAGAACAACTTCATGAGAAGGTTTGATTTCTACCTTGTGGAAACCATCTGAAGTAATTATACATAACAACAGCAGCTATAAGTGTTTTACCAAGTCCTGTAGGCAAAGCCACCAACGTATTCGAAAACAAAGCCGTCTTCGTGATAGCAAACTGATAATCTCTAAGAGGAACACTCCCATTCACTGATATACCAAATCACATAATAACACATTATTCATCAAAATCATTCACAAAATCATAAATATAACAAATCTAATCAAACAAACCTGGATAAATCCAAGTTTTAGCTGTCTCAGGATCAATCCTAACCAAAGGACTCATGTCATTATTACCACCACAATCAAATTCATCAAAATTAGGCTCTGAAGCAACTTGATTCTCCGGTTTATGCTCTGTTCTTCCGATGAATCGATCGAGAGTAGATTGTCTTTTCGCTAGAGGCTTAGCCAAAGGAGTGAAATGGGTTGAAGATGAAGAAGATGGAATTGAGGATTTTAGACAAGCCAAGTCGATTTCTTTGACTGCTGCTTCCCAATCGAAGTCCTGTACAATGAAAACCCAGAAATTGAAAAAATCGATTTTGAATTAAGGAATTTTTGAAAAAACCCAGAAAGAGATTGGAGTTACTTCGTCTTCTTCGATGGTTTCTATTGGAACCCTAGATCCCATTTTTTCTGGGGAAAATTTAGTTTAATTCTCTGTAAGAAGAAGCTTGCTTTTTTATGATTTTCGAATTGATTTTTGAGGTTTGAGATTTTTGGGTTCAGTGGTGGTTTTTGTCGTCGAAACCCTTGACGAAGGCGATACAGAGACTGGCGGGCAAATTTTGGAAAAGAAGAAAACCAAAAAATAAAGTAAAAGACTATTAAAGAGTTCAAAGTTGTAAATATATTTTGGGTATTAAATCAAATAATTTTATATTCACCAAAAAAAAAATCAAATAATTTTGGGATGTTTATTTATTTATTTATTTATTTAAAATATCCTTAATTTTAATTGGTGAGATTTTCCAAAAATGCAATTTGAAAGCTTAACAAGACTCTTTTAAAAACAAGGTTCAGTCTTCAGAATTTGTTTTTGGTATTGAGAAAGTGACAAGGTTCAGAATTAATCAAGGTTATGTAGAGGTCATTTTGGAGTTTCATCAGGAAGGTTAACATATTGTAACGCCCGTGTCTAGAAATCCGGGTGGTGTCGATCGACACTGTGGTCGGGTGTCGATCGACACTAGTAATTTTGCTTTGACGGTTTAAGTTTTTAAATCGTCGGTTCAATGGAGGCTTGGTTTGGGTTGGTTAACCCTAGGTCGTGCTTAAAAGAGGGAAGGTCGTGTGTTGTCTCTTCCCAGCCGCTTTTTAACACTTCCAGAGATAGAAAAAAAAAGGTTCTAGAGCTTCTGAGGGTTTTTGTGAGTCTTTGGTGGTGCTTGGTGGTGTTCTTGGTGGTTTAAGGCTAGTAGAGGCTAGATCAGTGTTGTGTGGTGTTAGAGGAGACAGATCCTTCCTTGTTCTTCCTTGTTTTCGTTGCTGTTCTTTCTTGTTTAAAGAGGTGAGTGCATGACCAGGCTTATCTAAGCATGTTTGATCATTGTTTTAGGGTTTTGATGATTGTTTGATTGATTTCCTTTGCTTGTTTGGCTGTTTATTTGATGATTGATGCCTGTGGAATCCTTTGGAGACTCGTTCTTATCGTGGTGGTCTTTTGGAGAAGAGATCCAGTGAGAAACGCAGTTGGAGCGTCTGCAGAGAGTCGGTGTCGATCGACACCAAGGGTGGGTGTCGCTCGACACCAACGTTTCATCGCGCGAGGATAACTGCGTCTTACGATTGGAGTGTCGAGACCGGTGTCGTCCGCGAGGGTCGACAGCGAGTGTCGATCGACACCAGTGGAGGGTGTCGATCGACACCGATAGTCAGAAGCGATTCTTGTCTATCTTTTATTGGTTGTTTGGTTCTTTTCCTTGGATAATGGTTGAATGTGCTTGTGTGTATAGCTAGTGGTGGTATGATTGCCTCACTAAGTATTTATGAAATACTTATGCATCTTCTTCTTTGATGCAGGTAAAAGCAAAGTGTGATCCGTGGAATCATGGCGAGGAGAGGAGGATGATCTAGGCGCTCATTGGTGTTTAGATGATTGTAGGATTTGTTAGGATGCTAGAAGGAATTTAGAAGCATGTTAGGATGAATTCGTTTCTGGAATATTGATAGTTGAACTTGTTGGATTAATGGAATGGTTTGATTGGATTTTTGTTTAAGTTTTCCGCTGGTTACGTTGAGTTGGTTGTGTTAGTAAAATTGTCTGGGTTACTTTAAAGGGGTTAATCCGGATTGTTTGCATGCAAAATAAAAAATAAAAAAAAATGGGATGGGTTCTTTCACATATGTTACGTCCTCCTCTCATGCACTTATAGATGGCTATTTATATGTTAGCCTATAAGGCTTCCGTTCGGATAGCAGGTCACTTCCAATCTTTCATCGAAATTATGTTTAATTTCCTGTATTTGTGATAATGGTTGTATTTGGTTTGTTTTTATACTCTGTAAACTCGTTATGATAATATATAATAAACTTACTGATAAAAAAAAAAAAAATACATGATTTTAAAATTTCTCCAAAGTAAGCTACTAAAAAGAAAAGATGGGAATAGAAATTGTAAAGACTACAAAACGAAAACCAAAGTAATAGGCAAAATTTATTAATTCGGCATAGTAAAATCAAATGATTTCGGGACGATTTCATTATTTTCTTTTTCAAATCTCTTTATTTTATTTGATGCGATTTTCTTAAATACAATTCAAAAGTCTATCAAACTTTTTTTGAAAACATAAATTTGTCTCAACTCGAGCGCATACTTGAAATTATAACTGACGAAATGGGTTAATTTACTATATCCACTAAGACCATGGGCATCGCCGTCCCGCTACCTTATATTGGGACCGTCTTTCTTCTTCTTTCTTCACTATTCACGGGTTCCACTAACACGTGACGGCCCACGAATGGTTGTCCTTTCAAAAAAAAAAAATCTAAAAATTAAAGAAAAAAAAACAAAATTTCTGGGACGGGAGATCGATGCCCATACCCTAAGGGCATGAGCATTGGCAGTCCTTGCCCAGTACACTACCCAAAAAGAAAAAAAAAAGAAAAAAGAAAATATGCAAAGAGGGACGTTTCTTCAAACGGACCGTCCTCTGCCTTGTTTTCACTATTCGTAGGCTATACTGACTCGTGCCGGTTCGCGATTGGTTGTCTTTTATTATTATTACTTTTTTAAATCTAAAAAAAAAACAAATTGTGGAAAAAAAAATGTCCTAACCGCTGTCCATGCTCTAAGTACCATGCATATTTTTCTTCTCCATAAGGCACAACCCTGTACGTATCTAATAGTTTTTATACTTCTCATTTCTCAAGTCATCTGCTTGTGTGTGTAAATCATTTTTATGTTCGGGTCTTAACTCTTAAGTAGCCTTTATCATTTTCTTAAATTGTGTTTGGTGCACACACCTCAAAAAAGACAAAACTTGTATATATAATATTAAGGTTTATAAACACTAAAGAACCCATTTTGCCTTTTGGCAATTCATACAAGGTTCATGTGATCCCAAGTTACAAACACAAACAACGTCACGTGCCCCCCATCTAGCCAAACCGGACCCAAGTGTAAGTTCCAAGTTCAGCTCCTTGTCCCCAAAGTCATAACTAAAATCACGATCAACACTTAACCAAAGATCCTCGTCTGTGGTCGTACCACTCGTAGTTGCACAATTTTCAGACAACGTATACGTCTTTGGTTTAACATGATCAGGACACGTAGACTTCACATCTCTGGCTAGAGAATTAAATGGTGTCGTGTTAGGTTCGACGATCGAACGGTGAGTTTTTGGGTCAATCCCACGACTAAGTAGTTTCCTCTTTATATGAGTGTTCCAATAATTTTTAATCTCATTATCTGTTCTTCCCGGTAACTTTCCAGCAATCAACGACCACCTAAAAAAAAAAAAGTTCCAAAAAGTGAGAAATGTTTTCTGAGACCATTTTTATATTTGTGTGTGTTACTTTTAATTTATTTTGTATCGTTCTAATTTTATAAAATGTTTTTAAAAAGACGGATAATTATTTTCACGGAAAACGAAACTTAATTTACTCGAGAAAGATATATGAAAATTAATTACTTGTTGCCGAATAAATTGTGAAGTTTGATAATGATTTGATCTTCACCATCAGTAAAATTTCCGCGTTTAAGATCAGGACGAAGATAATTAATCCATCTTAATCTACAACTCTTACCACACCGCAACAACCCTAAAAAAAAATATCAAAATTCACCACACTTTAAAAATTAGACCAAAGAAACCAAAAAATCGAAAACATAACAAAACTTTGAAATTTTTACCGGCTGAATTGGGGAGTGAACGCCAAGATCCTTCACCGTGATTACGTATGTAATCAATAAGACATTGATCTTCTTCTTTAGTCCAAGCTCCTTTGTTTGTGTGAGCCTTTTCACAACATGGTGATCTTCCCATGATGATACTACAAGAAGTGAGAGTAGGATTCTGAAGAGAGCTAGGTGTTATAAAAAGGAAATGACTTTGACCAAGTTGGTGTATCTTTTGTGTTTGTGTGGGTGAAAGAGATTTGGGTAGGTTACCTTCTTTTTCTTTCTTTCCTTAGATTTTGTACAAAAGGGGTTTGGTGGAGAAAAAGTTGATAATTTTGTTTCTTTGTTACATGTGATATGAGGATTATTTATTTTATTACAAATTATTATTTGTGTTTATGTAAGCCTTCTAGAATGAAAGTGAGTGGTAGAGAAACACTCGAACAAAATGTTTCAAATTGCATCTTACCTGCTGCCTTTTTGGCACTATCTTTTCTTTTCTAGAAGATTTGTTTTCTTTGACAGAAAAAAGAAAGGGTTAAGATTTTGTTTCGTTCCATTCTTTGTTTAATGAGTAATTTATATATACAAACCAAATGCTAATTGAAAAAGCCAAAGTCTTACGAATTGAACTAGATCAAAATAGTAAAAACTGGGTTTCTCAAAACGCTATCTTTGATATATAGAAATTTTGTTTACAATGGGTTTTTCCCTAAACAAATTCCTAATCTCTCAAATACCTTCTTTCTAAGATCATACACTTGATCCTAGAATCACTCAAAGAAACCCTATGCACTCGATAAGCTCTCAACTCTCTTTTCTCTCAAGTTAAAGCTTATTGCAAGATCTCTTTCTCTTAATTGTGCCAAGCTTTCTTCAAGCCTTGCCTCCCTATTTATAGAACTAGGACATCTCCATACAACAGGAAATTCCTATTCCACTTCTAAATAGCCTTTAAGATATTTTCCTTTTTCTTTATGGATTAGGAAATTATCCAACTCTTCTAATTTACTTTTATTCTTATAAAAGTAAAGTCTTCACGCTTCTAAATGATTCTAGACACTTCTTCTTTGTCTTGTGCCCAAGCCAAACCGCCTTTCTTCACTTTCCTTCTTTGTTGTTTCTTCTTTCGTTAAGTCTTCTGAACTAGTCGCTGCACTAGTACACTCTGTTGTTCAGACTGCATCTTCAATCTCCCCCTTTTTAACCTTGTAGTCTTCAAGCATCTGCTCATCAGATCTTTGTACTACAAAAGGTTTTAAGACACAACATACTTTGAAATACTCTGGAATTCAAAGAAGTCTTTAAAACAAACTGAGTTCATCTCAAAAAGTTGAAACGGAAGCAAATTTCAAAGTTCAAACTGAAACTCCCCCAAAATACAAAAGGCTTTAAAAAAACAAACTCCCCCATGCTTAAACAGTTGGTATTCAGCAATACTCCCCCATGATTCAGCAATACTCCCCCATGATTAATGCTTCTTCTCCCCCTGCTTGAGACAACACAGGTTAAAAAACAAAAATCAAGCTTTCTTGGCCATGGGATGATTCTGAATCAATTGATCAACAACTGCAGTAAGTTTCTTCAGAACATCATCCGAAAGCTTTTTCAGAACAACAGCAGTATCAACCAAAGCTGCATAAGATGCTGCGTCACTGTTATCCCCACTACGGGGTAGACGAATTTCCCCAAGCTGAATAACATCATGACCAGAAGCAGGATCCTCATGCGCAGAAGCAGCAGTACACCCAAAACTGTCATCACCCGGATACTTCTTAGCATAAACTTCACCAGTGCGAGGATCTTTCACATAGTCATCAGCGACAATAAAGTCCTCATCTTCACCAATAATATCGCCCTGTACAAGCAGCAACTCAGTGATAACTCGCGGAAAGATCAGCCAACGCTTATCATCATTCTGAATTGAATTCCATGTCATGACTTGTTCATAGACCAGCTGACCTACATCAAACCGAATACCTTGAAGAATTTTGTAAACTACCCTGGCCCGTTTTTCAGCAAGATGATTCTTATGTGAGGATGGAACCAAATTGCAAGCAGCAATCATAAGCAATGCACCAACTCCAGCAGGTAAATTCTTGACACTTAAACCTCTCCAGTTAGATTTATCTTTTCCACTAAGAACTCTAGCAACCTGATCAATTGCAACATCATTAGCAGTTGCATCTGCTCGACGTTCTGCTTTAGTCAGAGGCTTCTGAAGCAATGCACGATTAATAGCTGTTGGAGAAAACTCGAACATCTGACCTCGAACAAACACTTGAACACCAGAAGGGGACATCTCAGAATGGAGATTAGCATAAAACTCACATACAATTGCTTTGACATAATCAGCAAGTTCAAAAGCAAGTTCCTCTAAACCTACATCCTTAATCTTCTGACAATAACCCCAAGTATCTTCCTTGAGAATATCAACACGGCGTTCTTGAATAAACCGACGAGAGATGAAGCTATTATACCGTAACTGAGCAGCTCGAGACACAAAGCGTGAGGAATCAAAGCCAGGAGACTTGGAAATACCTTTCTTAGTGCGACGCTTCCTGGATGATTCAGGTACCTCGGTGTCTGGATTTTGTCTTTTCTTCATCTTCTCTTGGCGAAATTGATCTTGAACAGAAATATCTGGATCAACACAATCGTCTGGGTATTCAACTGTAACCGGAACAGGTTCAGGGTGAGACGCCGGCGTTGATTCGCTGTCAGTAGGTTGTTCATGGGCCGTTGCATAAGCAGATGCAGAGACTTCACCGGCAGCAGCTTGCTCTGTAGCAACTGGATCAGAGACCGGAGATGCACTGGAGTCCAACTCGTAAGGTACAAGAGTTGGAACAGGAGTAGGAGTAGCGTCTGAATCGCTTGATTCGTCAACTAGCTGTGGGCGATTGAGAGTACCATCATCTCGAGCAATTGAATTACCACGTCTGTTGCCGATCAGTTCACTTCGAGTAGCTTTCACCATTGTTGTTCAATACCCTAGACTCCTCGTCTTCTTCCCCTTTTCTTGAAGAAAAACTTTTTAGCAGTCTAAAAAAAACTTTCCCCTTTTTAATAATAATTTTTTTTTTTCACGGACTCCCGAATCTCGAGAAAATCTAAAAGATTTTATTTTCTACCTTTCAAATTTAAATGTTAAACTCCAGAGAATAAGGAACTGATTTATTTAAAAAATCTTGAATTGCATCATCCTGAATCAGTACCTTGAATCAGACAGAATCTGATTCACATAGCACAAACTCCAATCGAATTTCTTAAAAAAGAAAACTGACTGAAATCCAATGCCTTTGTGAACATATCAGCAAGCTGCACCTCTGTTTCCACATGCTCAATAAGAACATGTTTCTTCTCAACAAGCTCTCGTATAAAATGATGTCTGACATCAATGTGCTTAGTTCTTGAATGCTGAACCGGATTCTTGGATATGTCAATGGCACTTTTGCTATCACAATAGACCTGAAGTACACCAGACTCCATGCCATAATCGGCTGACATTTGTTTCATCCAAAGCAACTGTGTGCAGCAGCTTCCCATAGCAATATATTCAGATTCTGCAGTGGAAAGTGACACATAATTCTGCTTCTTACTTAGCCAAGCAATGAGATTGTTTCCCAAGAAAAAACATCCACCACTAGTGCTCTTCCGATCTACTACACTTCCTGCATAGTCTGCATCACAGTATCCAACCAAACTTTTGTTCGAGCCTTTAGAGTACCAAATACCCAAATCAACTGTGCCTTTGACATATTTGATGATTCGCTTCACAACTTCCAAGTGAGATTGTTTAGGATTCGCTTGATATCTTGCACACATACCTACACTCAGACATAGATCAGGTCGACTGGCTGTAAGATACAGTAGACTTCCAATCATTCCTCTGTACTGCTTCATACTTACATCCTTACCAGATTCATCTCTTGATAATGATATACAGTGTTTTTAGAGTCTTTCACCCTTTCTTTTATGTCCATTTTGAGTCGTTTATCGTATTTTAGTCCGTCTTTCGTGTCTTTCGAGTCGTGTTTTGAGTCTTGAGCAGGGGATAAGCGGTTGGAGCAGAATTGACGCGTTTTGGACCAGTTTCGGGCAAGGAAGTGGAACTTTAGCTGATGCAGAACATGGACCGATCGGTCCATCACCAGACCGATCGATCCGACCGGACGGCACATTCGAGAAACAAAACGATCGATCGGTCCCCACAATGGATCGATCGATCCGTTTACCCGGCTCTGAACAGAGAACATAGATCGATCGGTACTCACCTTGGATCGATCGATCCTATCACCCGGACAAGATCCGGCGCCTAAAGACCGATTGGTCCATCTGTTAGACCGATCGGTCCATTCCAATTTCGGTTTCCTTAACCGGAGTTAACTTCTATTTTCTTCTGTAATGGGTATTAAAACCCAAAAAGACTTGTTTTTCATTCTACGTTTTTTTCACAGCAGTTTTTCTGAGTTTTAGACTTGTAAGCAACATTTGGGATAGATATTGATCCTCTTTGACAATTTAGAGAAGATTTCTAAACCTTTTTCTTATTCTAATCTATTGAATCATGTTTCCTTTAAAATCTATTTGCTATGTTTCGATTGTTATGTCTGAGTAGTCTCTAAATTGGGTTTTAGGGTTTGAAGTAGGAGAATTCAATGATTTGATAGATTTAATTGTCTTAGGGAATTATTAATCATTAGGTTCTTCAATTTACATGTTCTCAATGCTAGAATAGGATTGATCACCCTGTTTTAGAACTTAGGCTTTTATGTGTTTTAGAGATGTTCGATAAAATGCCTGAATGAATGTAAATTGAGCTTTGTATTTCTAACCTGCGAGAGTTGATGTTAAAACGCTTTGCGAACCAAATGAACCTGTTTGATAATGCAAATTTGGCTAGGAAATTACAAATGAGAGTTTAGTAATTGAATAGTTAAAATTTAGTGACTAATGTCTTGAGAGAGAATTAGTCTAAACTTCTGTTCATGTTCAAGAACGGTTCTTTATGTTTGAATTCCTTATTGCTTTTATTTGTTATTCATTGATTCTCTGAAAATACCCTGCAGCCCAATGTCTTTAATTCATAAGTTTAATCTCTTTATTTGCATTTTTATTTACAAAAACTGAAAAACAAACAGCAAGTGTTTCCGCTTTAGCTGATAACGAGTCTCGAAAGTCTTTAGTGTACCATTGCTCCTTGTGATCGATCCCGCATATACTTTACTTCGGTTAAGTTATCGGGTTAAATACTCGAGTAATCAGATAACTTAATAGATGTACTCATGGGAGTTTTAGCTTCTTTGCACTTGTCCATCTGAAATTTCTTCAAGAGTTGCTTTGCATAAGTGCTTTGTGAGATAAATATTCCTTCATCAGACTGTGTTATTTGTAATCCCAAAAAGTACTTTAGCTCGCCTACTAAACTCATTTCAAACTCTTGAGTCATGATCTTCACAAATCCACTAACAAGTGATTCTGATGTACTTCCAAAGATAATATCATCGACGTAGATCTGAACCACCAGAATATGATCAGCTTGTTCAAGCGTGAACAAAGTCTTGTCGACACTTCCACGAGTATAGCCATTGTCAATTAAATAGCTTGTCAATCTGTCATACCATGCTCTAGGTGCTTGCTTTAACCCATAAAGTGCTTTCTTAAGTTTATATACATACTCAGGATGATTCAAGTCTTCAAAACCTTTAGGCTGTTCTACATAAACTTCTTCTTGTAAGTAACCATTGAGAAAGGCACTTTTCACATCCATTTAATACACTTTGAAATTCAATATGCAAGCCATTTCCAGAAATAATCTGATGGATTCCAACCGTGCAACAGGAGCAAAGGTTTCTTCAAAATCAACTCCTTCGATTTGAGTATATCCTTGTGCGACCAACCTAGCTTTATTCCGAACTGCAACACCACTTTCATCGATTTTGTTTTTGAAGATCCATTTAGTTCCGATGATGTTGATATCTTCTGGTCTTTTAATCAACTCCCATACTTGATTTCGTTCAAAATGTTCAAGTTCTTCTTCCATTGCTATGATCCAGAAATCATCTTTAAGAGCCTCAACATGATTCCTTGGTTCAATGAATGACACAAAGCACTCAAATTGTACTGTCTCCCATATTGCAAAGTTACTATGCAGTTTTTTGAAATCGATTTGTACTCCTCTGGTCTTTCTTTCCGTGAGTTTTCCAATGATATCTGAGGCTGAATGATTCTTATGAACTGTCGGAGTACCATGTAAGTCTAAATGAGAGTTTTCTGGTTCTGACTCATTGTCCTTTGTTTCCTCGGTTTCTGACTCATCCTTCTCTGCCTCTGAACCAGGTGTTTCTGTTTCTGAATCACTGTCTGACTTACGGTTTCCTTTGCTTGAACCTGCTAAATCATCAAACACCACATTGACTGATTCAACCACAGCACATGATCTTTTGTTGAATATTCTATACGCCATACTATTTTCAGAATATCCAAGAAACATGCCTTCATCACTTTTGGAATCAAATTTTCCTAGATAATCTTTGTCGTTCATAATGAAACATCTGCAACCAAACACATGAAAATAACTCAAATTTGGTGTCTTGCCCTTCCATAGCTTATATGGTGTCTTGGAGGTTTCTCTTCTGATATATAGACGATTTACTATGTAGCATGCCGTGTTCAAAGCTTCAGCCCAAAATCTCTTTGGTACTTGATTTCCATGTATCATAGCTCGCGCCATCTCTTGTAATGTCCGATTCTTTCTTTCTACAACAATGTTTTGTTGTGGAGTTCTGGGAGCTGAGAATTGATGCACTATACCATGACTTTCACAAAATTCCTTCATTGATTCATTCTGAAATTCTCCTCCATGATCACTTCTTATCTTCTTGATAGATCCTTTTTCATTGATAAGTTGCAGTTCTAGAATCCTGAAGCTGTTCACAGTTTCTGACTTTTCTTGAATGAACCGAACCCAAGTGTATCGTGAGTAGTCATCAACTAACACAAAAACGTACTTCTTTCCTGACAAGCTTTCTACTTGCATTGGCCCCATTAAGTCCATATGATCAGATCTAGAACAACTTTAGACTGCACATCTGGAACCCTTTTGTGCTGAATTTTAACTTGCTTTCCTTGATTGCATGGTCCACATATAATCTTATCTTCACCTTTGAGTTGAGGTACTCCTCGGATGATTTCCTTGTTCACAAGAGTAGTTAAATTCCTGACATTGATGTGCCCTAGCCTTTGATGCCATAAATTCAGGTTGTCTCTTGCACTGAAGCAATTTTCAGCATTTTTCTCCCACATGTAACAGTTGCTTCCTGATCTTATCCCATGCATTTTGGTCTTTCCATCTTCATCCATGGCCTTACAGTCAATTTTTGTGAACAGAACTGACATTCCTTCATCACATAGTTGACTTATACTGATCAAGTTTGCCTTCAGCCCTTATACAAGATACACATTATCAAGTTTTGGCAATTGATCACTACATGTTTTACCTTTGCCCTGTATGATTACTTTCCTTCCATCACCAAAGGTAACATTGCCGCCTCTCAGTTTTTTTATCTCTTCCATATTTTCCTGTGATCCTGTCATATGTCGAGAGCAGCCACTATCAAAATACCAAGGTAAAATTTCTTCTTCTTCTTCTGTAAGCATGGCCATGTTGCATCGAAAACCTAGGTCTGAGGTAGGCACACGTTTAGGCTGATATAGATCAGATTTTTAATCCATATTTGACGTTTGAACCCATTCCAAAAATACTTTCCAAGATTCTTTAGTCTTCGAACCTTTTCCCAGTACTTGTAACAGTATGCCTTATAATGTCCTAACCTTCCACAAAAGAAGCATCCTGTATATTTGGTATTATTAGTGCTCATTACTTCAGGTTTCACCTGATCTACTCCAGCAGATACAAACTTGGTTGCAGATGTGCTCCAGCTATTTGCTCCAGTAAAGCCAAGTCCTTGATGTGTC